CCATTACTCCAGTCACTGAATCAATCCATCTCATAGAGGGTCTTCCTTTCTTGTACTGTGCCTCCACCTTCCCAAGCATAACATCCCTCTCCAAGGACTAGTCCCACCTTGCAACATGTTCAAAGTGTGTCAAATGAAATTTCAAAGTCCCTGCCTCCAAGGAGCAGCCTAGTTTCACCCTCTCGAGGACGAACCTGTTTGTTCTCTTAGCAGTCCATGATATACTCAATGCTTTTCTCCAGCACCACAGCTCAAAGGCATCGATTCTTCTTCTATCATCCCTAGTCATTGTCAAGCTCTCTGTATAAATTTAAATTCTAGAATATATTTAATACCTTGGTCTTAAATAACTTTTATTTGTCCTTTTTGAACTGAAATAACTCTCAGTATAATGTCTTCCAGACTCATTCATGTTGTATAGTGTTTTATAAGTTCATTGTTTTTCAATGCTGGAAAATATAAAAGGACAAATACTACACAAGACTATTGTTAAAAAATATGATTGACAGGACCATGTGAGAAGATGTAGAGAGAAGAGGATAAAAGTGGATAAATAATGAACACTATACTGTTCCAGATGAGGGAAAGGACTAATTAAAAGGTACGCAAGATTAGCATCATATATGTATAACAAGTAACAATCTGAGACCCATCTGAGATCAGCAATAATATCCCTAGTGCCATGCCCTTTTCTATACCCAGATTATATTTATGGCAGTTCTCTGTAGATGTTCTATTGTATTGTTCAAGAAGATTTTGGATAATCCTCAGCAAGATTTTGCCTGTGTGGGATCTGTGATATTGCTCAATAATTTCCACATTCTTTAGATCAACTTTCTGGGAACTAGGAGACTAGGAATAAATATGGATCTCTTCCAGTCAGTTGGCCAGGTACCTGTCCTCCAAATTTCTTGGCACAACCTGTCGAGTATATCCAGAGTTACATGTTTGTTCAAATATGTCACTTGGTATTCTATCAGTTCCTATAGCCTTATTGTTTGCCAATTCCTTCAAAGCAGCTTAAATATAATTTCATACCAATGCTTCTTGATCATAGGAAACTTCCTGAAATGGTTCTATATAAATTCTTTTTGGTACGCTGACTCCATGTATTCCTTCCATCTTCTTTTGATGCTTTCAGGATATAGAAGATTTTGCCCACAGCATATTTCAGTACTGCAACTCGAGGCTTGGGTTTATTCTCCAATTATTTAGCTTGATAAATGCTGAGTGAGTTCTTCCCTTTTGACTTTTTGACATCATCTCTTTAAACATCTTGCTATACTACTTTGTTATACTTGGACCAAGAGGCGGTCATCAGAACAGAGCAAGGAAACACTGCATAGTTCAAATTGGGAAGGGTGTATGTCAGGGATGTGTCCTGTCTCCATACCTTTTCAACCTTTATGCAGAACAGATTATCCGGGAGGCTGGGTTCTATGAGGAGAAATGTGGGGTCAGGATTGGTAAAAAATCTATCAGATT